TTGGGTTGCATTCCTCTGGTTAGTGTGCGACATCTTTTCGGAGATCATCCGGGTATCATCTGTTTCCTTTTAACAGTGTTTTGATCGTCACTTTCCATTCTTGTACCATGATTTGTTTTTGCTGTCTGAAATTTTGTAAGAAAGGCGTCAACAAAACGTCGCTTGAGTCCTCAGCTATTACAGTCTTGCCACGCTTCGAGATGATATGTGTCTGCTTTTAGTCTAAAACAGACTTTCGATAAAACAGTTTTAAAAAAAATGCTACTTTTGCAGTTATTAAAAGGAAGTATAAACAAATTGTTTTTATGCGTTTTTTGCATCTATGCAATGCCGAAAACCGTATTGACGAGGAGTTGTCTGTGTGTATGTTCGTGCGTCTGTGTGTCTGTTTTTGCGTCTGTACCGGTTTTTATGCATTTTTGCTGTGAAGCGCTATAGCACTGCTACGGCGAGCCAAAACGATATTGCGACGACCCCTGATGTGCGCGTGTGTATGTTCATGTGTGTACCTGTGTGTCTGTGTATATGTGTGTGTCGGTGCGGGTATTTCGACTTGTTGATCACGCAGGCTCCAGGGCCAGAATTTTGCCAGCGGGTTCCCCAGCCAAGATCGCGGCACCGACCTTCACGCACTTCTAGGCCTCGAGTACAGCGGTGTGAAAATTTTACGGCGAGGAGACGACGTTACGACGAATGTTCCGCAGATTATTCGGACAGGAGTACGGCGAGCTTCGGACGAGACTTGATTGAACGCCGATGTATCTGCTTAGAGGGGAGACTGGAGTAAACAAAACGAACTTTGCCAACACCAATAAAAGTTCACAGTTGAGTACTTGAGGCGTCGGGGTCAAGTCGGACGATTGCAGCGACGAGCGATGCAGACGGAGAATGCTGATCACTGGAGCGCAGACACTGTTGCAACTGAATACTGGACACTGAACGCTGAAAACTGAACACTGAATTTTACAACAAAATTGCGGACTTATATACTTATCACAAAGGGCGGGACAGATCACAGGGATCGAGAGGTCAATTTTCTGCGCGATTCTGGATGATTATTCTTGGCTTCTCTTGCATGCCAAGTTTTACTCGCTCAACAGGCGGAAAGATGGCTGACTCGGGAACCAGCGGGGAGGCAGAAAAGCTGGGAGGCTGAAATGTCGAGGGGATGTTCCCAGCCCACGTGCAACTAAAAGACTTCAAGTTCAGCCCCCGTTATGCTTGTTTCTCACGTGCTACCCCGTGAAAGTTTTTGGCGAGGAAACTCGCCAACTTGGGAACCAGGAGACCTGGGAGGCTGAAGTGTTAAGCGGATGCTCCCAGCCCATGTACAACTTAATGAATTTAAATTTAGCCACTCAGGTATGCGTGGTTCCCAGTTACAGCCCCGTGAACTTTTTTTGGCAAGGAATTGAACTTTTTTGGCAAGGATATTTACTAACTCGGGAACCGGTAAAGCTAGGAAGCTGAAATTTTAACAGAATGTTTCCTTCCCAAGTGCACTTGGTACGATAAACTTTTTGAAGTTCGAAGGTCACTAGATGATTCCATGCAAAAAACGCATGATTGCACGGACCCGTCCTGTGCGCATCGCCAGTGATTCATCTCATGACGTATAAAAGCTGTAGGGCAGAAACTTTGGAAACTTGAACTACATGCACGTGCGGGCCCCAATCTCCAAAATGGGCGCCCTTATCCGAGTGATACCCACGTACAGGCCCGCCAAATCTTTTGTCAGGAAAGCTGCTAACTTGGGCACCAGAAAAACTAGAACGCTGAAATTTTGAGGGTGTGTTCCCTGTCCACGTGGGTATTATCGAACTCAAATCCTGCCCCGAGGCGCGCGTGTTTCCCACGTATGGGTTTGTGAGAGTTTTTTCGGGTAAGTTAACTTGGGAACCTGAAAAGCTTGAATACTGGAATTTTAAAGAGAAGTTCTGTGTCCAAGTAGGCGTTAACGAGCTCATACCCAGCATTTGGATATGCGTGGTTCCTGTGTGCGAGCCCGTGAAAGGTTTTTACGGTTAATTTACTAACTTGGGACCAGGAAAGCTAGAGAGCTGAAATTTTAGAGGATGCTTCCTGACAGTTCTGGCGGCCAGTCTCAGTTCTTTTCGCTGGAAGCATCTGCCGGGAAAAGCAGTGCTGTTAGCGATAAAAACCTGCGGAGAGCTATGACAAAACGCATCTTCACACCGACAGCCGGTGCGCTTGCCATTTATTTTTTTTGGCAGCCTAAATTTTCCCATATATTGTGTGGCAATGATTTCCCTTTTTGGTTGCTCGAAATCTTAGTTTTTCCTGCAGTTGAAGAGGTAAGTTATTCTACAAGACAGTCTGTAAAATTCGGCCATTTTGGAAAGAAGTATTAAAAGTCATTTTAATATCGAGCAATTTATGCTGCGGCTGAGCAGTGCAGTTTAGAGTCATGTGCCTATCAGAAGTTGTTTCCAGCATTGTGCGATCTGCTCCAAAGAAGGTGCAGCCATTGAACATCGAGGGAAGCATTACCATTATGAATGTGCGTTGCAAAAAGGTTCACTTCAAATTCTTTTTCCATCTTCTCTCTGGTAGTGATGCATACCTGGATGAATTTAGCACCGTTTTCTGAACGAAATTAGGTTTGGTGTTTATGGATGTGCCACTTTAATGAGGAATAGTTGATTGAGATTTATGCTCTTATATTTTCTTTTTCCTTAATGGTAATACAGACAGTATTTTCTTTCACTTTTTCCTTGATGGGAATTCAAAATTAGTATCTCCCAAAAAAACTGACGAAAAATATGAACTTTCCATGATAAAATAAGCATTTGCTTTTCTTTTGCAGGTATTGAACCCTTTTAATTTTGGCGTTGTTCATGCTTTCGATATCTGTTCTCCACGTTCGCTTGTTAACGTGTTGTTGTCAGAACTGGAAATCGATGCTGTTTTTTCGGACTTTTGTTGTTTGTTGATCTCAGTATAAGCGTAACCTCCGAAAACTACGTTTCTAAAATGTTCAAACAGTTTTATGCTCATAAACTTCCTCACTGAACACTCAGACTGTATGAATTCGTTGTTCACTGATGGCCCACAATAAGTTAAAAATTTACTGTGTCCGAAAAAAAGTCCTTCATGAAAACGGAAAAGACAAGTGGAAAAAGGGGGCGAGCAGGGTGATAGGAAAGGGTTTGAGCTGAAGCATTTTTAGGTATAAATCTGAAATCCTTTTTTTTATACTAGGAATTTTTTGATGACGCAGTACGAAGACTTGTTGGACTATCAGTGTGGTTATTGGTGTTATCACTACGATGCTCTCAATGGTGAGCGCAGCTATTGCCAGCTGCACATTCCACTGCCTGTCCTGTGCATGTGCGCCACCTTTTTAGGACCGCCCGATGGTCATTTGCTTTTCCGTGGGCACCACTCACTAATGCGCATTGTCCACCGGTTATCGGTAAGGCGAGCAGTATGTCTTGCTGTCGGATTTTACCTTCTGGCGTTGACGTGATGATATCCTGAACGCTATTGATCTTACGGAGAGTCTGATTGTTTATTTGGACGCGGAGAGATATTCTAAACATTCTTTGTTCCATCTTTTCCTCCGTTACAGCAGCATTTCTTCATTTGCTTTCGACTGTGACCTTGATTTGCTCCGTATGTCATTGTCTTGAACAGAACGGTGTCGAAGACATGGGCAAGGTCCTTTCGGTTTAACATTTTGAGGACATCGGCGATGCTATGAAATTTGCGCCAGCCGGCATTCTTCGATATGCAGTCTCTGGCTGAAGACTGTGTGGCATATATGCTTGTCCAAGATAGACGTAACTGTCAGTTTCTTTCAAGTCAACACTGTATCTCGTGGGCATACGGGGACTTTGCATCACCTTTTTTGATGCGTCGATTTTCAAGCCCACCTTCTTCGTGCGTTGAGTTCCTGCAACATCTCGTTTATTTTGTGAGGATTGTTGGCAATAAGAACTGTATCATCCACGAAACGTAAGTGATTTAGCTGCTCGTGTTCCCCAGTTTCCGAGATATTATTTTGAAGCAGGTGGTGAAATGCTTGGGTATACGACTTGAAGTGTAAAAAAGTACTTTGCCAGTCGAGTAGCCTATGTTCGCTTCCTTAACAATTTCCACATAATCCCCGTTAGCCTATTTAGAGTTCGTAACACAGCATTCAGCTCAATACTGTCGAATGCTTTTTCGTAACTGACTACCTCAACGGGTTCCCCATCAAACTGAGCTCTTCTTAACTTTATTCAGCTGTTTTGGACCAGATACGTCATATATTTCTTAACGTGCTAGCTGCTGACTGTGTGTGCTGCCCCGCTTC